AAATGAGATTCATGCAATAACTAGAAAGAAATAAGCATAAAGAACCGCTTCACTGCAAACTGGTACACCCCAGCGTCTGCTTACATGAGACATACTCGGATTTCAGCAGATAATGACAAAACCAGCCAGTAGATGGCAGCAGCTGCACGCTCATTTCTAACAAATCAAAGCAGGAGCACAACAATTACATCCCAGCATGCATGCGCACACTCATCATTTCAACTAATAAATTTAATCCACAAACAGTAGATCAGTGGAAAATTGCTGCAGCGAATGGTTTCGAAAGCAAATCATAACGTTTTGGGGGCCCCCTTACCAAATACAACCAATTTCCTAAGTTCCCATATTTCCCACGGTACTATAACGGAGCTAATAAATAAATGATAATTGCCGGACAACTATACCGGCATCGGCTGGTTGCTATAAACGTTCAAGCAGCAGCCAATAAAATCAGTGAAATCATTAACAACGCAGTTACATGAGAGCAACATAATAGCATTCGTATGTATCGCGACGCAAACGGCCGGCCCAGTGGAATGGCATGTTCGCTGGTTTGAAATGTCGACAGTACAGAAAGGCGCTGGTGACAGTAAAAGATGCCTATGACAGGTTGAATGAAGCGAACACCTCCGAGCAGTAAACGGGAGACACGTTGAAAAGAACCTGTGCCGGGAGACGGTGCCATTTCCAATAGCTGCGCGGCCAAGCGGCTGGTTGAAATCCGCTGCACAGTGCAGAATGCACACATCTGATGCAGTGAGCGTATATGTGTGTGAGCATGCACATTGCACAGCTGTCATACAAACACGGGTGAAGACCCCAACACACAGAGCTTACCACAGCAGCAGCACGCACACTCACGTGAGAGAGAGAGAGAGAGAGAGAGAGAGAGAGAGAGAGAGAGAGAGATTCCTTCTATCTCTCTCTCTCTTCTTTCCTGCCTGCTCTCTATCTTGCACTCACTCTCACGTCTTGATTATTACATACAATTTTAGGCTTGAAAGGAGGTTTAACTCTTCGGTGTTCTAGGGCCTCCCAGTTCATCTCCCGGAAGAATGGATGATGCTTGATGGCTTCCTCTCCCCCGTATGCCTCAACACAACCCAGCCGCCTCACTGGATTCTTTGTCATGAACTGCGGACGAAGCAGGCGATTGCTTATTAGTAGAGTAAACCACGAGAAGACTATAAGGAAGAAAAGAAGGAAGCGAGGCATCGTGACGACAATCACATATCAGCACGTCAGTCGGAGATTCTCAAGCTCAAAGCACGTCCAAAATCAGAAATGCTTCAGGTCTGGACTCATCCCTTTCAGCCTAGAAACAGTTTCCTCGTAGCAGCATAGTATATGACAGCAAGCAGACGACCCTCCAGACGCACTGCTTACCCCTTTTAGTATTGACACGGCTTCCTTGCTGAGCCAGACAGGGTAGAGAACGTCGTCATGGAGTATTGACTCAAACAGGTCATCCTCGTTATCAGCCTCGAACGGAGGCTGGCCAGCCATCATCTCATACATGAGTACACCTAGCGCCCACCAGTCAACAGACGGCCCATACTCCAGCTCCTGAAGAATCTGTAATAGACAGCCAGAAACCAAGGCACGTGTACACCACGATGCACCAGCAGAAACTACATTAGTACTGTAATAGCCAAACATTGCATTAGATGTGGACATGAGAAAACTATTGTTTTATTGCTCTTTTGCCTCGTTGCGCCACCTGGTGGAAGCTATAGTGGTGAGCCAAGGGAAGCGGACATATTGAATTTCGACAAGATGTGTAGACCTTTCGTTGTCACGATATTTCTCCTTTAAGATACTTTTGGTCAAACAATTCGGTAAGAAAATATTATAGTAAGATGCACCAATATATATATATTTCATAGCCACAGTGTATGAGAAATGACATCCCCGGTAGCGGGCGTCGTTAGGTTATGTCGAGTGAATTCGAGCATTCTGTTTGCACGAAGGAGCATGGTCGCGCACTGTATAGCACTTCCAGTAGGGTCGGTCTCGATGATTAATTGTTTGTTTACTCTTAAATATGAACAATGCTTTGACAAGTATAATTATTAGTGAAGACTTTTGGACACTAGGGATTCTGGGCATATTGTCGTGTTGGCAATTTATACTGTTGTAACATGTAACTTACTTATGATGATATGTACCTTGATTGTATAACGTAGACTTTAGTACTAAAAGTTGTATTTTGAATGCGTTGCAGTTTATCCTACGTATTGGCGTAGTAGAAGAATAAAGAACGTCGACATATAAGAACGCCATTACAAGTACGTTGTAACAGACAGCCAGAAACTATAGCAGAAGTAAGCTGTAATAGACAACAAGAAACTATAGTATGCTTATACTGCAACAGACAGCCAGAAACTATAGCAGAAGTAAGCTGTAATAGACAACAAGAAACTATAGTATGCTTATACTGCAACAGACAGCCAGAAATTATAGCAGAAGTAAGCTGTAATAGACAACAAGAAACTATAGTATGCTTATACTGCAACAGACAGCCAGAAACTATAGCAGAAGTAAGCTGCAACAGATAGCAAGAAACTATAGTATGCTTATACTGCAACAGACAGCCAGAAACTATAGCAGAAGTAAGCTGCAACAGATAGCAAGAAACTATAGTATGCTTATACTGCAACAGACAGCCAGA